GACGCTAGCCAGATGACTACCGATGGATGCTGGTAGGCAGAGGCAGAATTCCCCGCCCCCTTATTTTCCTCCCAAAAAACTAAGCCCAACCACATAGTTTCGTAACAAAGCATGGGTATCAAGCTAGTCTTTATATAAAGGCTAATGAAAACTGCAGAGATTGTTGTACAGAACTATCTGTAAAGAAACTATTTATTACAGGGGTGTCAAACTTGCGGCCCGCAGGCCGGATGCATCACGTGCTGGCCCTGCCCCCACGCAGTTTAGCGAAGGGGGGCAAGTCCCAATATGTCATGTGACAGTGACGTGAGTTTGACACCCCTGGTTTATTATATCCCCAAACTACATAGCATTTATTGGATGAAACACACATGAATTTTCTTACAAAAAGTGGATAACTTTTTGTCCATCCTCAAAAAGTGTTTAAAGTTACTCTCGCTTTCTTATTCATACTAAATATTGATGTAAGACCCATTGTCCAGCTAGGTGGCAGCAGTTACCTGACCTTTGTTGATCTCAAAGACATTTAACAGGGTTAGAGTTGATTGGATTCTGGGTGGGAAACTATTCAGGAAATCTAGGGTTGTAGGCTGGGCTGGGATGTTCGAAAACTTCCTAGAAGAACATCATGGCCAACCACATCTGTATTTATGGCTAAGAAAATAGTGTAGATTTGTTGATGAAGACACCAAAAGTTGAATTTAACCAAAGGAGACCTCAGTTTTTAAGATTCATTAAATTGAGGAATACAGAACCTTTAGTAGGGTAATCCGTGGTCTCCAAGATAGTCTGCAAAAGCAGATTTACACCTCCTTGGGGAACCAATATGGCTTATGGACTGCGCCTGGTTGGCTGAGTGGTAAGTATTACTAAAAGTGAATACGAAGACCAGTGTGTTCCTTTGAGGCCTGTTTGACACATGGATGGCACTTGCGAGCACTTACTGTGAACTGTGAATGAGCATCCTTGAAAACCATCCCTGTTTTTAAAATGATTTGTGGGATAACCATTCTCTGGTGATTATCTAATTAAAAAATGCAAGTTAAATGAGGACTTGCAGTTTCCCATCAGCCCATCTTAAGGGTTATCGAAGACTCAAGTTGCATTATATATGAATATGCCCACGGAGAATATGATATTATAATGACCTGCCAGTAATTGATCTAGAAGTACAGCTTGAGCAAAATAGAAGAACCATACATTTAATCCAGACCCTGAGATATTAGAATTTCATATTAACCAGGATAATTACAATAACTAACTAGCAGAATAACATGGTGCTACACAGAAGTTGAAACTTGTGTGCATTTATGATTTTTAAAAAAACATGTAACCTATGCCCTTAATCTGATTCTCCTCTACCCTTTTACCAAATTATTCTCATCTGGTATTAATAAAAGTGATAACATTCATTGACAGCACGAAGTAGAGGACTTAAGTTGCCCATCTAATCTAGGTGCTGGGTATAGAAAATGAGTAACTATTCAGCAACTACTCTGGAAGATAATTAATTTTGTTGGCTGCTCTGATGGGTTTGGAAGGCATTCTCTATATGAGGCCAAGAAAATCCTCTTGTTCTTTTTTTTTTTCTAATGGATCTTGGCTGTCCATCTAAACACCATTCTATTGTGGTCTATTCTCACAAGCCTATTGTATCCAAGTAGTCAGAACAAATTCATGCAAATTACACCATTTGCAGCAATTTCCAGGGCATACATTTATGCACAAAGGGCATACATTTGGATGTTGTGACATTTGGGTTTATCAGACATCCTTCCACCCATGATGGCCCATTAAAATAGGGTTTGACAGTATCAAATAACTTGTTTTAAATCAGGGGTGTTCAATCTTGGCCATTTAAGACCAAACTTCAACACCCTTGATTTAAATCCTGTCTTTTTTTTTTTCTTTAGACTGTACTGATTTTTTAGTCTTATGAGATCCTGTGATAAATGCAAAATAATGATGCCAGAAGAAGGTGGCTAGTTCCTGACATGGTAGAATGCTGAAGGACCTGAGATATATGTTGAATGTATTCCTTTAACCATAAAACAGAAGCCTTTCTTTCTGACGCATTGGATGCATTAGTTCTTCCTTGCCAGTATATATTTTTATGGTTTTATAGGTGAAACTCGAAAAATTAGAATATCGTGCAAAAATTCATTTATTTCAGTAATGCAACGTAAAAGGTGAAACTAACATATGAGATAGACTCATCACATGCAAAGCAAGATAGTTCAAGCCTTGATTTGTCATAATTGTGATGATTATGGCTTACAGCTCATGAAAACCCCAAATCCACAATCTCAGAAAATTAGAATATTTCATGCAATCAATAAAACAAGGATTGTACATGGAACAATATCGGACCTCTGAAAAGTATAAGCATGCATGTGTACTCAGTACTTGGTTTGGGCCCCTTTTGCAGCAATTACTGCCTCAATGCAGCGTGGCATGGAAGCTATTAGCCTGTGGCACTGCTGAGGTGTTATGGAAGACCAGGATGCTTCAATAGCGGCCTTCAGCTCTTCTGCATTGTTCGGTCTCATGTCTCTTATCTTTCTCTTGGCAATGTCCCATAGATTCTCTATGGGGTTCAGGTCAGGTGAGTTTGCTAGCCAATCAAGCACAGTAATCCCATGGTCATTGAACCAGGTTTTGGTGCTTTTGGCAGTGTGGGCAGGTGCCACATCCTTCTGGAAAATGAAGTCAGCATCCCCATAAAGCTCGTCTGCAGAAGAAGCATGAAGTGCTCCAAAATCTCCTGGTAGATGGCTGCATTGACCCTGGACTTAATGAAGCACAGTGGACCAACACCAGCAGATGACATGGCTCCCCAAATCAACACAGACTGGAAACTTCACACTGGACTTCAAGCATCTTGCAGTGTGTGCCTCTCCATTCTTCCTCCAGACTCTGGGTCCTTGGTTTCCAAATGAGATGCAAAAGTTGCTCTCATCAGAAAAGAGGATTTTGGACCACTGAGCAACAGACCAGTTCTGTTTTTCTTTAGCCCAGGTAAGACGCTTCTGATGTTTGTTGTTCAGGAGCGGCTTGACAAGAGGAATGCGACATTTGAAGCCCATGTCCAGGATCCGTCTGTGTGTGGTGGCTCTTGATGCACTGACTCCAGCCTCAGTCCACTCCTTGTAAAAGTCCCCAACACTTTTGAATGGCCTTTTCCTGACAATCCTCTCCAGGCTGCGGTCATCCCTGCTGCTTGTGCACCTTTTTTCTTCCACACTTTTCCCTTCCACATAACTTTCTATTAATGTGCTTTGATTCAGCACTTTGGGAACATCCAACTTCTTTTGCGATTACCTTTTGGGCTTTCCCTCCTTATGGAGGGTGTCAATGATGGTTTTCTGCACAACTGTCAGGTCAGCAGTCTTTCTCATGATTGTGATTCCTACTGAACCAGACTGAGACCATTTAAAGGCTCAGGAACCCTTTGCAGGTGTTATGGCTTCATTAGCTGATTAGAGTGGGACACTTTGAGCCTAGAATATTGAACCTTTTCACAATATTCTAATTTTCTGAGATTGTGGATTTGGAGTTTTCATGAGCTGTAAGCCATAATCATCACAATTATGACACATCACGGCTTGAACTATCTTGCTTTGCGTGTAATGAGTCTATCTCATATATCAGTTAAACATTTTAAGTTGCATTACTGAAATAAATGAACTTTTGTACGATATTCTAATTTTTCGAGTTTCACCTGTATGTATGAGGACTCACAACAGTAACCCCCTTTCGTCAGCCATTCCACTCCAGTCAGGTTTGATTCTTCTCCATGTGTAACCTCCAATTCTTCGGGGTTTTCCTTTGAAAACCAAAAGCATGTTAGGGCAAACCTAGGTACTAGACCTCTTTGGGATGGCTGATGGAAACATGATTTGTTTCTAGCCTCACAACAAACTTGGAGTTATAGTAAGCTAAGAGTTGAGAAAGGTTCAAGCCAGTGTGGGATTTAAATTTTTTTTCTACCAGTTCTGTGGGCGTGGCATGGCTTGGTGGGCATGGCAGGGAAAGGTTACTGTAAAATCTCCATTCCCTCCCCACCCCACTAACCTGCTTTCCAGCTCCGTTCTCCTGTGCAGGGCAACCAAAGAAGACCCAGCCAATCAGCTGGGACTTGGGAGGCAGAGAATAGATGGGGGCGGGGCCAGTCAGAAGTGATATTTGCCGGTTCTCTGAACTATTCAAAATTTCCGCTACCAGTTCTCCAGAACTGGTCAGAACCTGCTGAATACCACCTCTGGTTGAAGCTCATCGCCTGAAAACCATATCTTAAGTGGAAATCTGAATGTCTTCCTTGGCCTTATCCAACAGTCCAGCTCCTGTATATTTTGGATCTCTTGTTTGCATCCCCTTTGAAAGGATTTGTGCAATGAGCATATATACATTATTGGCAATCAGACTTGGAAAGGATTAAGAAGTATTGCTGGGTTCCCTTAAATCCTGGCATGAAGCCTAATGTATGGCCCAGAGGTTAAGCCTGGCATCCAAAACTATCATCCACTTTAAAAAGATGTTTAGTCAACTAATATATGGATTTTATTACAAATATAACATTCAGATTTTATGCTTTCCAGTAAGTGATTATAGTCAGGATAGAATTCTATAAACATTGTTTTGTGTGGGTGGGTCTTTTTGAATCCTCTTTCCTTTGGTCAATCTTGTGTAATATATAAAGTTTATTAAAATAGGATATATATATGCTAACATGTTATTAGAAACCAAAAAAATCAGCAGGACTTCGACTTTCCAAGAATTTTCCCCCAGGAGTTTTAAAAATATTGACAAAACTTAAATATTTAAGGATAAAGGTCAGTGGTTTGTGGCATGGATGAGTTATACGACTATCATAGATACTGTCAAAATTGGAGCGGGACAGTGCAAACAAGTCCATATCAACATTTCTTTTCCTACTTAAAACAGGACATGCCATTGCCATAATAACAGATCATTAAAAGATACCTAGTGGTCAAGGGCAGCATTTTTTTCTACTTATTACTGCTCAAATTATGGCCTTTTATTTCTTTATAGGCCCCAAGGTATTCTCCTAGATAGCAGAGCACTTCAGAAATCACTTTGCATTACTATGCATGAAGAAAAACCCAGGCTTGAGCTGTAGTGACCTCTGATGGTACAAAAGGGATCTCTAATGGGATTTCATTGTGGGCAGAATGGATCTCCCCACAAGGGGATTCATCAGCCAAAACCAACAGGTTTTTTTTAATTTAAGAAAAGCTACCCTTTCGCCATTCTAGAAATAAAAACGTCTCTTTGTTTAGTTTGGTAAGAAAAGCATTTTAGATAGAGAATGAACGGTCTTAGCATTCACATATATATATACACACTTGATTTAGAGAAGAAAGATCTGGGTTAAGTTTTAAATTACTACTCTTGGCAGGCAGTGATTTATTCCTCATGAAAAACTATTCAGAGATCCTGATTTTTGATATAGCTCAACAAGGTAGTAGTGGTGTCAATATTCAGGGAGCTAAGGTTGGAATGGAGGCAGAAATCTGCAATATTTGAAAACTGGTGATTTGTCTCAGCTTCTAAAGCTTTACAAATGCTGTTTACAGTGCTGTATTAACCATTAAGCAGACTAAGCACATGCTTAGGGCACCAGGCCCAAAGGGGCACCACAAAGTTGAGAATATGGCTCCGTTTGTACAGTATGTACAAAGTAGGGGGGCACCAAGATTTGTCTTAGGGCACCAGTGAGCCTTCATCCGCCACTGGCTGTTTAGCTTGCAATTATAGATAAAATCCATCTCTGTTTAATTACAGGTTAAAAATAGTGTTCTTAAAGCCATTGTTCAAAAGTGGGAGGATGGGAGGCATTGCAACTGAAAGGCCCTAGGCTCAAACCTTTGGAAGTTCAGGGAGATTTGATCCTATGGACCTGGGGTGGGAAGCTATGGGGCCTTTGTGGCTGGCTCAGGAATTCTGGGAGTTGAATTCCACAGGTTGTAAAGGAGCCATAGTTGCCCATCCTCACTGTAGATCAGGGCTGTCAAACTCCCGGCCTATGGGCCGGATGCGCCACACACTGGCCACGCCCATGCCCGGTTTAACGAAGGGGGTGGGAAAGTCCTGATACATCACGTAACACCGTGAGTTTGACACCCCTGCTGTAGATCATGTTCAAGACTTTCCTTAAAATAAAACAATTGCCCAGATTTCTGCAATCTTCTTTGAAGAAAACCATTTTTAGGATTACCCCTTTATGTCCTTAATATTGGGAAGAGGTTCTCTGTGCTTTTAACATGTTCCCCCAAAAGAGCCTGGCTAAAAGCACTCCTCTGTCCTTCTGGATAGTTGCTATAAGAAGAACCTTCTTGATTGTATATACTATAGCAATGCTTTTTTGAAAGTTTGGGATTTATTTTATACAATGCTCTTCCATGAATAGTTGTTTTTAAATGAAAGCTAAACTACAAAGAGCAATTACAAGTATGCAGTTACTGTATATTTAAGAAGGTGAAATTGAAGGTGAAATGGCATGAGATTAAGCAAGATATGATATGAGAACGTTGGTTATACTCACACTGTTATGCGGTTCAAGCATTCATAATTTGCCTTGGTCTCCAGGTCAACACTGGGTCTAAGAGGAATACATTTAGCTAGGCCTTCAACAGGTATGGTTTTCCCTGGTTATTTCACAGAATGTATGTCCAGCTGCACCTGGAGATAAAGCTGCTCAAAATTCTTGCTAGTCAGATAGCTTCCAACCAGAGTTTCCTTTCTTTTTCCTCCCTGAACTCCCACTTACACGCAGGCAAACCTTTCAAATTCTCAAAAAATGAAAAAAGACTTAAGTTTCCATTTTGGTTGATAAGTTAACCCCATTTCCCTAGTCCACCACACCTTTGGAGATGATCACAACAATTTGAATGAAGGGAAAGAGGATAATATTACTTTTTAAAACTCGTTAATTTGAAATCAGTTTACGAAACCAATATTGTTTTAATCTTCAGAGCCTAAAATTACATTTATACCAATGACAAACTTGGATTTCAGAACTAATTTCTGGTCTGTGCATTGATCTTTGCTCACGTCACACCCAATAAAAAGTATTTTCCTAGTTTAATCGGCATGCCTTTAAAAAACAAACTTAGAAATACAAGCCTTGGATCTGGTCAGGATTTTAAAAAACAATTCCAGCTATCAAAAATAAAATCAAAGGTGAGCTTTCCTGTCTACAAAACTAGCTCAGAACTATTATACATACCATATATAATTTGTTCCAAATTTGGATTCTTGCTGGATAGCATTATGGGTGCCGGTGTGAGAAAGAGAGACAATTGATGTAATGACACCACTGCACAAGTGACATTATCCTGTGTAATTTGTGTAATTCCCCTGATGTTAATCAGTATGGCTTGTAGTGTGCCTGTTGTTACTGCCTGCTTCTCATACTACAAACTTCACGATGTTGAAATGAAATAATTTAGACTTATTAGCAATTGAGTTTTCAGTGTAATAATCAAGCTTCACTTAGAACTGAAAGCTATACCCGGTCACTGGCTGAAGCTGATTGATTGGTTGATTGATTGATTGATTTGATCTCCTTTTTTTATTTAATTCCTTTATTATTAAAGTGAATGTTGCTGTGAGTACAAAATCAGAGGTGGTTTATACAAATAGCCAAGCTATGCAAGAAAATTCTGCTTGTTTAAAAAAAAACCTCTATCCACCTTACTTCCAAACTAGAAAATAAAAGATGCTCGGTCTTAGCAAGCTTCAAAAAGTATATAATGCATTTATTAATACAGCTTGCTAGTTTGAGCTGGTTTGGGCTTGGACTTATAAATAGGAGAGTGAAGGTTTTTCAGAGTTCAAAAAAAGAATTGGGTAATTTGATATTCATCCCAGTTTTTACCTGAGGACAGTTGCATCGTTCCTAACCATGTAAAACAAAGGTACTTCATGCTGAAATGGACATCCCAGAATGTGCTTTCTTGAAATTAGTGCAGTGGGAATGTATAATGCACATATATGTTATTAAATAGGTTCCTGTGCAGTTTGAAACTCTGCCACAAATTATATCCTTTACAATAATAACTCTCAAGTTTGGGACCGTTTGTTAAAAACTCATTCTCCTTTGTATGGCTGAGAATTTCTGCTCAGCAATACAGATGGAAAATGAGCTGGACCATTTCAACCAATTCCCTGTTGCACAGCCTATCACTTCAATCTCGGCTCAATTCCAGTACGCAGGAAATGGCTGAAAAATCCTATTTTGTTCGGAGGGAAGGATATAACTGCTGGAACATTAAGTACTCTGTGGAACATAAAGCATGAAATGCACATGCAATTCAATGAATTGAATGTAAAGAAACTCTGCGAGTCCATCCAAGTGCAATCTTAATACATTCACTTCTGGAAGTAAATGCTTTTTGCTCAAGGTGCTTATGTTTAAATAGGTGTACCTATCGCTCCGTTAATGGGTGTCAATTAGATTACCCCCAAATCAGAGGAAGCATGGAATATTTTACATCTTGTAATAATTCTATGAATAATTCTACAAATATCATGTTAGCCTGATAATAATTCTACAAATATCATGTTTCTTTCTTTCTTTCTTTCTTTCTTTCTTTCTTTCTTTCTTTCTTTCTTTCTTTCTTTCTTTTTTTCTTTTTTCTTTTCTTTTCTTTTCTTTCTTTTTCTTTTCTTTCTCTCTCTCTCCCTCCCTCTCTCTCCCTCCCTCTCTCTCTTTCTTCCCTCTCCTTCTCCCTCTCCCTCCCTCCCTCCATCTCTTTCTCTTGTATTTGAGTAGGGAAATTTTCATCACTTCACCTGCATTTTTGGGACACTTCTACCATAAAGGACATAGGACCATAGGTAATGCACAATTGCAATTTAAATGAAAATGGCTCTGCATCATTAAGGTACAATTTTCCCCTAACAATCTCCCACCGTGTATCTGAAACTAGACAACAGTATTGTCTAGTTGTTTGATTTCAGATCAGGATTTCGACATTACAAAGTATTGTTCCATTCTTGGCTGCTGCATTGAAGTTCTTCAGAGGCTTGTTTGTGAGCAGGGTGTAGTGTGTATGTGTGAGTAGCTAAAAGTAGCCAAAAGGGGGAAATTAATTGTGGTGGGGGAACAACCTGAACAATCTTGGTTGATTTTTTAAAAAAGGTTTAGGCCAGGGACCATTAGGGGGGAGTTCACTCATACCATTTTGACTGGGCTCCTGCTCCTGATAAAGTTCCTTTCTGTTCTTGTAGATATTGGTATCTTAATCTTGTACTTGCTGATCTGGACCACAGCTACAAAGAGGACGGCAGCACAAGCATCCTATAACAACGTTTGTGTTACAAAGGGGATGGGAAATGATCGTATTTGATTTTTAATGCATGATTGATGTAGTCCTCTCAACATATGACTGTAAAGTTTTAGCGGAAGAGGAAGGAGGACTCTCTATCTCTTGGGTAGACCTGTTCCAAATATTTCATTTCCTTGGCTGTCCTTTATATCTGGGAAGATGCCCGTCTTTTTACACTCCAGAAGGATTTTGGGGAGGAGAACCTCTGTCTCCTGTGGTGAGATTTCATCCATCTGGATGGAATGTGTCTTTCAACATTTTCTTAGCTTCCCTTTAGCTAATTTAAAATTTCCACTCGCTCATGTTTAACCATGGTTACCCAACGCATCAGTGATTCCACATGCCAGCAGAGTCAGTCTACTTCATTATCATGAAGAAAGGCCTACTGTTGTTACGAGTCTCTGGCTTGTTTTATTATAATGACATTTTGGGTTTCGGTTATTGTAAATCTGGTTTCATGATGTACTTCGGGTGAAGTTTCAGACTGATCTGATAAAATCAAATTAAAAGGGCCTGAACTGTTCACATGGATATGTCTATATTTTATTTATGTCCCAAGACCCAATATAAAAGCCAAGGACAAAACAAATACAGTGAAATTACACAAAATCCTGAAACAGTGTCTACCCAAAGATGGTATGACATTACCATATGCCTCTTTA